AAGCCTGTGAATGCAGATGCCATCTAGGAACATCTCAACAGCTGCTTTCCCTTAATTTGTGCCATTTTCCACAAATTCCCTTTTCCCCTATTTCCCTTTTCTATTTAGTAGTTCTGGAGGTGGAAAATTATGGCACATATATATTATTTATATGAAGTTGCATAGAATTTCAAAAAGTACAATGCCGCAATTATCTTTAAATTCAAATGAAATTTAAAAGAAACAGAGATAAAAAAGAAACTGCATCAGCCACGACAAAAATTATTGACATTCAGTTCCTCTGTATTCCTAAGCAAACAACCCTCCAGCAAGCTCCTCTTCAGTTTATATTGCTCATCAACGTCTCCCGCCTTTTGTCTCTCTCTGTGCAAAATATTCTAATAGTTTCTATTAAGAGCAAATTAACAGAATAACATAACTGTCTTTAGTCCAAACTCTCTTTCCTGCTCACAACCACATTTGGAAGGGAAGGGAAGGGAAGGGAAGGGAAGGGAAGGGAAGGGAAGGGAAGGGAAGGGAAGGGCACTTACTCGTAAGAATAACTGAGATGCAGAGAGCCAGAAACTGCAATCTCATGAAGAAATTACCCTCAATAACAATCAGAGCTGCAAAAACTTTTATTTATCTGCCCAAGCAGCTTCATTTCCTGAATGTTCTATTAAAGAAAGTTTGTAGAGGTATGTATATTTATTAGCAGGTCTTTGATCCTTGACGATCAACTGAAAACTATCAAAATCCAAACTGCTCGTAAATGTCTCACATGTATATTTACAAGTACAAGTATTTTCTCAGTTTTATTCTTTCCTTTTTAAGCTACTGATACTGTCTGGAAAAGCCCCATGGTGCTTCTGCCACTGCAAAAGAAACATTCTCTGGGCTTTCTCTGAAAAAAAAAAATAATCAAGAGTACATCTGTCCTTCCTAAATGGGATCACAATTCATCTTTTTCTTATTGGATCTATGTTTATTCCCTGACAACACAATGATGTCTAATGTGGTTGCATACTCCAAAGGATAACAAGGAAACAGACTAAGAAACAGTCTCTTCTTCCTGAAAAACTACTAAGGAATGAGAAATTATAAAATATTTTATACCTGTCAAATGGGGAATACTGAAGATTCTTAGAGCAAAAGGAACTATTAAGCATTATCACTACACTTACAAAAACAAACAAACAAAAAGTCTTGCATGAGTTTTACTGCAGATGATAAAGGAATTTCACTATTTATGAGATAACCAAATAATTTTCAAAAGACTATGCAATTTCACAAAGAAAAAGTTACTTAGTCGTTCTTCAGTAACTGTGACCAAAATATACATCTGTACTGTATATAAGCCCTGCAACTATTCTATTATTATTTATATTGGCAACTATTGTCTTCTAGAGGATATATTCATACCCTACCATCTTTTATGCTTAACATATAACTATGTAAGACAAAGCACTGTCAATGCTACTTTAGTTTTCTCTAAACTGTAGGATACTGGCATTGGGTAACAGGGAAGGACTAGGAGAGGAAAATGCATAATGTACGTGTGGACCACCAAGGTAGAAGCCCTGCACACCCCTGTAACAGCACAGTGTTTGGTGAAGGTACACATAAACTGGTGTTTATGAACAATAAATCAGTGGTTGCCATGAACAATAAAACAGTGATGGTCCAGAGAAGTAATTCTAGCTCCAAACATGAAAATTGGCTCCAAACTGGCAATATCATTACATCTTTTTCCTGTGGCCCACCATCAATTTGATTTTCATGTGGACAGGGGCATTTTTCTGGATCTGCCAGATATGAATAGCCAGTCTCAGGTACTATATGAAAAGTCAGGCCCTATCACTGTAAGATGAAAGACCCTTTTCAACAGAGGGTGGGAAGGCCTACTTTGATATCAGAAACATAAGGTTTGTGGGGAAAACACAGCAACAGGTATGCTTATTTTCCAATTAAGAATAATTCTAAAATCACCTTGATAAATAATTCTGTATGGATCCATAAGGACACCTTCACCTGACAGATTGTCATGCAAGGAGGAAATTCACCTTACCCTGGCTTAGCTACTTCCCTATTTTCTTGTTGGAAGCGACTGCAATCTAGCTTTTGCAAAAAGATGGAATAGTGAGCAGGACTCTATGCTTCAAACATTGGTCCAAAAAGCATTGGGAGATCCAAGCTCCAGTTCTTGTATGGAGCTGAATCCACAACACTGAATTAAAACAAAAGAAAATATGAAGTCAGTTCTCAGGCTAGGTATAGATTCCTGCCCGTGCAAGGTTTCAGGATCAACTGCTTCCGGGCTGGTAGTCAGCAACCTCAGGTTACTCCTGCGCGCTGTCCTAGTGTTCTCTACCCACCAGCCAACAAGTACATGGGAAACTGAACCAGAAGACCCGCAGAAGGGATGCACCCATCACAACTGACCTAGATGAAAGAGGAGGATACAAGGGTGTAATTAAAAGGACAGATGCTGAATGGATTTCTCCACATAACTAGAGAATATCTTGCTTCTAAAGAAAGGCTAAAAGGTATCTGCCTTTACATTTACCACGACCAGGCAAAACATAAGTATATTCTGCCATTTGTCTTCGGATAAACAAGCAGAAATTCACCGTGGTAACAGGATTAAAGCCCAGCTGTAACATTAGGTTGTCATGAACTGCAAAAGGGAATGAGTTCTGTGGTTCCCAGGGTTAATGAAGAGTCAGTTTCCTTAAAGACAGATCTATACAGGGTAAGTGTCAAAAAAAACTTGGAATGGGAGCTGGAGGAGAGCAATGAGAACAGAAAGGCAAACTGGATCTTAGTATCTAAAACCCAGCATGATCTCTTGCCAAGTTCAATGGAACAGAGCTAACATGTTTCCAAAAATCAGAGATGAAGAAGCAGATGAAAGCAACTGAATGGGTTATTTGCACTCTTTGAGAATGTTTTCAAGACTGCTGATAAGAAGACAATGAGGGGGTAAGAGCTGGCAATGACACCTGTAGTCTATGCCAGTGATGCCAGTATCATCCCTTGTGTTCTTATTGTTGCTGGAACAGATTCTGGGTATGGGACACAAGAATTTTCTTAATTGGCCACTGTACTAAGCCAAACAGGTGAATATGCAACTTCTTCTAAGTAGCCATCAAAGATTCAAAGCTTAGAATAGTTATGGAATCCTTAAATGTAGATAACTACTGAGTGTCCCTGCACTAAACACAAAGGAGATACTGGAAATTGCCAAACAGGATAGCAACAACCTGCATACAAGTCTTCCTTCCAATCTACAGGATGGGATTCTGCAAAGGAGACCACGTATCAGTGAGTTTGTCTTTATAGCTAGAGCAGCTGGTAACTCACCAAACAGTTGAAATGAATACACTCAACCAACCACATTCTTTCATTGCTGAAAGAATAGAGGAATCGGATGAAGAGAAAGTTAGTGACTCCTAAGAATACTGATGTGTCCTTTCTGGTTGGAGAAAAAGAATGTATCAAAAGATCTTGCTATGATCCAAAATAGTTTCATCTACTCTACATACCATATTAACTTATAACCAACAACTGGCAGTTTCAATTCCCTCCCTGAGTGCACATTGGAGGAGACTTCAAATTTAAGAGATTTAGAACGACTCTCAAACCTGCAATGTGTATGAGTTTGCTTGACATCCCGTAATTGTAAGGTTCAGAATAAAAAATGAAAAGCAATTTAAAGTTGTTTGTTGAAATGGGCCCCAAGACTTGGTTGCTGCTACTCAGGATCCAATACTCCTGAAAATAAGACAATAAAGAACTAAGCTGAATCAATGCTCCTTACCTCCTCCCTTTAAACTAACGCACATTCTTCAAAGATGGTATGTGATAAAGACTTTCTGGTGGTGCTGAGTTGCTGGAAGAGGTGGGGAATCCCTTAAAGAATGCTTCTTAAAACAAACGGTAGAACTGAAGGGCCTTGTAAAGCTCTGTATGTTGACTAGAAAGTTGACTCAGTGTCAGGTGTGTACTAAGATAATTAGCAAACTTGAATGCTGACAAGAATGGAAATAAGGGCTAATTCAGCATCCACAGAATCCTTGGCATTAATTAAAAAATAATACTGTCTTTCATGTCAATCCGGAGTTGCATGTGGCAACCTCAGGGGAAAGGCAGAATGACATTTCCAAGTACCACGATCACTGTTGACTGAAGCCAGACAGGACAGAAACACGATTTTGAGAGTGCTTCCCTTGCTTTTTTTTTTTTCTGTAGGCATCAGTGGCAGAGCCTGTCAGCACTAATACCAGAGCAGATCATCTAGGTGACTCAAGAATCTGTTGTGGAAGCTCAAGTGGCCAAACCAGAGCTGTGAAGGGAATCAAAACACCGTCCTCATTTCCATCTTTGTATTAATCCTTGAGAAGTGTGATGTTTGGCACTTAAGTGCTAGCTAATGGTAAAGATGGCGTGTCACACTCTGGAATGTCACTTCTGCTTACACACTAGGAAACAGCCAAGTTTTGGTGCCCACCTCAACCAGTTCTGAAGTTGATAAACCCCACTGTTTTTAGCAGAAATATCTAAAATTTCAACTACCTCTCCCTGCAACTTGGGGAGTTCGAATAAAACCCAGCAAACTCTGTATCTTCCTATTCCCCCTCGCCTCCACTGAGGCTATATAAACACTCGTTATACAGCTCAGTTAAGCAGGATCATATGTTCCAAGTGACAGACAGATGGAAGATTATTTTTGAAGAAATCATTGAAAGATAAAAACTTTAACAGAGGAAGGCAAACATGAGAAGGAAAATGCACGTTAGAGGCCTTTTTAGACACTAAGAAGCACAGCATCAATATACATACAATCATCACAAAGAATAGTAGCACATACAATTCTGAATATCAACTGCCCAGTATTAATCAGGCAGACTGTCAGTTCTTTACTACAAGGAACAGTTTTCAGCATACAAACATCACAGTCTAAAATTAAATGAAAAATACACACTTTATACTGTATTTCAAGAATATACTCTAAATCATACCTCGGGTGCCAGGTATTCTGGAGTACCACAGAATGTTTTCATAGTTGCTGCGTCTGTGATTCCTTCTTTGCAAAGTCCAAAATCTGTAATTTTTATGTGTCCATCTTTATCCAACATTAGATTTTCTAACTGTGTGTTGGGGAAAAAAATATGTTCCCTTAGTATTTTTTAACAGGACAGGCTGATGCATTACAACAATTTTGGAAAAAAGACAGAGTTACTGCTTGCAATACAATGCAATTTGTTTGCAATTTAAAAAAAATTACAGCATCTATTATATTACAGCATTTAACAATGTTTACTGTTATGCAATTTAAATAATTATTTAATATTTTAATACCGTTTACAATAGTAAATCCCAGGTCAATCAAAGCATGACCTTTCACTCAGAAGTTTTACAAGTTTGGTGCATCTGCCATAGAAAGAAAGCAAAATAATTTTCTAAATATTCTCAAGATATAATCAAGTAATTCAAGGTTAAAATCATGGCTGCCATTTGATAAGACTTTATAGGTTTCCTTTGCTGTTTCATGACCTTCAGTTTGCAAGATACATTGTACTTATTATAGTGTCATGAAAGAGTTAGTACAATCCGTAAATCCTTAAAATATCTGCATCTTCCACAACCTTTTCAGTACCAGACAAAGGGAGGCTACTGATAAAAACAAAACCCTGAGGTAAATTCCTCCTTGTATACTTGCAAAGGACACTGTTCTTGAATTGTGTATGCGTACCGCTGCATGCTTTGCATTGCTTTTTAAATATATGATTCTTGCTTTGAAAGACGAAAACAGAGTGCAGCCTGTTATGAAGTATTTAAAGAACAGGAATAAAAGCTACTGCCATATTTACTGTGGACTATCTCAAAAGCACAGCTAACATCACCTTCCCAAAAGCTTTTTATTAGCAATAGTTTAAATACACATAGAACTAAAAAAACCACCGTACTTCTGAACAACTTTTCTCAACAGAAAAAGTGTGGGTTTTTTCTAATTACACGGTGTGTAGTGAAAACACCAACAAAGAACAAACATAGCCCCATCTTCCTAAATCTGCATACAGCCTGAAATACAATTCAATGACATGTATTTCCTGTTGAGTCTAACAGTATCATACAAAGAAGATGCAAAGTAGATGACACCAGTAATAGAAGATTTATGGTGTCAAATTTCTTTTTCCTTATTATTAAGAATTTAAATGAAAAATCATTCCCTGACCAGACAATTCCATAGTTTTCCAAGATGTCACAGCATTTCATGTTATTACAACAGATTCTGCTACAAACAGGTAACCTGGTATTTTGTTTCTGTCTGCCTCCCTGAGCAGAATTTGGGTACCATTGCCACCCTCTCCTCGGCTCCTGTATAAAGCAGTCCAGCAGTGAACTCCACTAGTGCACATGTATAATGGAAAAGCAAATTTCCCATACAAGAAATTAAAGGCTTGTGACAGAAGTAAAATAGTCTTGTCGTGGAATTTAGAGGTTCCTCCCACATAAATTAGGAAATGTTCCTGTTGAAAACAGAAGCTATTTTTTGTAGAACACAGTCATACTCTGTCACAAAGTACCTGGAGTTTCAGGCAACAGAGGATACACAACTGCATATGCAAGCAAATCTAAGACAAACCACATTCCAGTATTATGAAACTTTCACAAGATACAGAAGACAAATAATTTTAAAATTAAGGCTGAAATTGTTTTCCTATTGAAGTATTTGGAATTGTTTTAAATGTTTTCAAATCATACAAGAACATAACTCTTTGGTGAGACAAACAGAATGCAGTCACATTGTCCTAATTCCCCATTTCCTTTGTTTGGGGACACTGAGAATTACATTTGAGAATTGTGCGGAAATCCAAGTTAAGTTATAAGCAATGGGGGAAAAAAGAGGATCAGAAGTTTAAAACTGCTTCAAGTGCTATCACCAAGGTATGCTGTCTTTTTTTAATCAAGTTAAAGTCAAGTATTACCATATACCCATCTATAGATTACTGTATCAAATGGCTTCCTTCAGCATATACAGAACTTTAAACTGAGCACAGATTTTTTTCCTCCATTAACTCTGAATAGTGCAACTTTATAATTACTTTGTGTTTGTCCCAATAGTCTCTGCAAAAACAAAAATTTGATTACTTTTTTTTTTTCTTTTTTTACCTTGAGATCACGGTACACAATCTTCCCAGAATGCAGATAGTCCAGGGCAGAGACAATTTCTGCACCATAGAAGCGTGTGCGGTCCTCTGAGAACACCCGCTCTCTCGACAAATGGAAAAACAGCTGCAGGGTAAACAGCAGGGACAGGATTGTAATAATTACTGATTTAGTGGGGGAAATTAACACAAACATAAAACACCTCTCATCACCATATTGTGATGATAGATAGTGTACTCTCAGTGGACACTCAGCACTCTTAGACAGCAGCTGGCTTATCTTTTCCAGGTTTCCAAAGGGAGAAAGCGAGCTGTTAAATCAGCGTTTTAATCAATATACCAATCTTGTTTAAGGCATTCTGCTTGCTACTCATTTAACCTTCAGTTATCAGAGGGGGGTTGGAAGGGGGGGAGAAGTATGCAGCAACATCATTCTGTATTTCTCCCTCCACCGCTTCCTCAGAATTTTATTTTAAGCCACTGAGAAATATCATTGAAATACCCAGATTCTGATCTGCCTTAAGTTTTCCAGTAATCCAGTAACTTTTCTTTGAACTGAAAAAAGTCTAGTTCTTCTGCAAACTTTGACTGAACAGGTGAACTGGCATTTTACAAAACCAACACATTCATACTTCTAGCAATATTACTAGAAAAAGCAAAACAACAACTGCTTAGGGCTTATAAAAATGAATCTATGTACTTAATGTACATAGATGAGCACTATGTACTATCTCTTTGCTACATCAAAAACATTTGTTGGGGGGTTTTGCCTCTTTAATTTAACATTATAAGTAACAGCACTTTGCAGACACTTTTTCAACTGAAGTCTTTCAGTGAAAAACATTAGTCATTATATCTTGCCAGTAACTTCAGCTGCAATGAAAAAGTGTAAGGTGACGTTCTGTAAGGTTGTCAGCATTTTATCGAATAAAACATGACCCTCAGAAGCTGGAATAACACCTAAAAAATAAGGATTTGCCTATGTAATCAAGATGCTTTCTAAAATGGCTAGTTTCATTTACTGTGTTAAGAAAGCTTGGGAAAGTCCTTAAACAAAGATTAGTGAGTGTGTTCCTGTACTCTGCCTCTGACCAAAGGCTCCGCCTGCCTTACTTCTTCAGGTTACAATGGTTTTGGTTTTACAAAAACAGAAATACAAACATGTCAAAAGCATCAACAAAACAGAAACACAGAACATGTGATCATTTATAAATTAGACAAGGAAAACCATAACAGCAATGTGGGGTTTTTTTTATTTTCACTGCTAAAAATATGAAGTAGGTGAGAATTCTGAAATGGCAGGGTAGGTACAAAAGAAAAAAACACCAAACCAACCAACTGAAAAAAAAATAATGTGTTTAATCTGTCACTGCCACATCCTACTTTACACCTGTAGGAAATCTAGACTGTTCATACGGCACAGAACAGTGTAAGAATTACTGCAGCTATTTTCAGTATGCGGACTTCTCAAAACGTAATTAAAAAGTCAACCCTATAAATACCCAGAAGTCAACTTCTTTCCTGACAGTTGTACTTCAAAAAATCATCATTATTTCTTCTGAACCTAAACAAGCTTCCCACTAAACTGAACCTTTTGGCAGCATGTATTTGTATAAGGAGAGGCTTCACAGAAAACAGAAAATGCAGTATGATTTAAATGTATCTGCATTCCCCTTCCAATTTCTTTTAGAATTCTCAAGACACCCTATATAAAAACAGAATACCTGGATGACAAGGAGGATCATTATTTTGTAGGTAATTTCAATTGCTCCGGCTGCTGTTTCCCTGTTTAAGAACCAATCCCTGGTGCTGGCATCATCCCTCCCTGTAGTTACCTGCATTTTGTACTGAGGACTGCTTAACTGCCAACGTAAACAGAAGACCCTGACAGACTAAGCAACTAAGTCTGCCTTCATGAAGTGACTCACACATTATAAAATTGGGAAAAGAATAAATATTTTTCTCAATTTATGGGGTTTTTTTCCACGCATCTTTGCAAGATTTAAATAGGAAACAAACACTGATAAGTAATTCTTCATCCAAATAAAGCATAATAACGAAATTTACTTAAGTTGCACATTTATGCCTGTTTTGTGATCTCTCTCATAATGAGCTCATGTCACTAATTTTTAAGCATTTTATTTCTTTTGATGGACTCAAAGTAATTCAAAATAAAGACTAAGTTTCAGATTACTATTTAATGTGTTCACATAGCAAACACATTCCAAAAATTTATGAAATAACCTCCAGCTAGCCCTACACTCATATCTATGCAAAAGCAACACTGTGATTTTCTGTATCAAAATAATCCAGCAGCTGAGCAGTGAAGCCTTAGAAAATTCTAAAACCTCAGGATACTTGTCAGCAACAGATGTATTAGTTTCTGTAGAAAAGTCTCCCATTTGATTCTTGAGAGTTGGTAACCTAACACGTTAACATAACAAAAATTTATTTTCTTTACTCTTTATTTTGAACAAAAAATTCTTGATATTCATTCAAAATACTAACTTCAAAGTAAAATGACCAGCTAGAAACAACTAGCAACAGTTCTGATTGCCAAAGAGACTGTGAGTTCCATGTCAGTTTATTTTAACGTTATATATGACGCTACAGTCACTCCAGCATTCTTCATATTGTTATAGCACCCAGCAGAGCTGTCATCAAACCGTACATGCTAGTTTTGAATGAAGAGTGTACAGTTAGATATAAAAAAGCACATTAAAAGTGAATTCATAGACTCAGATAATACACTCAGACACTAACAATACTAAAGCAAACCTCAAAATTATAATAGAAAAATCTAATTCAGTGATATTCCAGCATTATTTTCAGGTAATTATTTAGTTGGTTCACTATTTTGGAATAGTTATGCCACCAGACTCTATTTACAATTGTCAGAACATGAAGATTAGACTTATTAAGTGAGAGAAGGAAAAGAAGAAATCTGATGGAGGGTTATGAAAAAAGCTTTCAACATTTGCACTATTTATTGACTTACAGTTATTAAATATGTGCTATAAAGTCATTGGAATTGCAATAGAAATAGCTTTGGCACAAAGAAAACCATTTTGCACATAACATTTTTGATGGTGTACATGAGGGTGCTATAGTTACAGTGAGGACTGAAGCTATAAATTTCCTGGTATGTCTTTATTTAAAACTGAACAACAATGTTGCCATGGGGTTTTTTCCCAATAAAAATTTTAATGGAAAAATTTTAACAAACAGAAAAATCAAACAAAAAAGCATATTCAACTGCAGACCCAAGCATGCCAAATATATAAAAGTTACAATCTTATATCAATCAATATGTTAAACTTCTACACATGCTGGTTGTCTATTTAGCATGTTGAAAGTTGTATGACTGGCTCTTGCTGTTTGCTCAGCTCTGCAGTTAAATGCATTTTATACTTGACTGTTGATTTGACTCCTTTGCAAAGCATTTCCAATAGCAGCTTTGAGATTTTGAATTATTTGTTTATTGTTTCAGACTTTATACCACTTCTAGGCATATTCTATACCCAAAGAAATATAGCACCCTTATCTTAGACTACTGCAATTTTAGGCTAAGGAACATTCTCCCATTTATTAAGAGTTTAGGAAAACCAGACACAACTGAGACAAAAATGACAAAGCTTACAACAATATTCAGTTATTTTTCATTAGGTAGGCTGTAAATCCTCTGTCTTTTTTTCTAGACGGTAATAGCACTTGTTCAATTACAACGAACCATTTAGTTCTCTCATGCCTAATGAATTAAAGTAAGAGCTGTGGAAAAAAAATGCCAAGCAGAACAGAGATTCAGAATTCTGGTGTGGAGAAACCATCTGAACAAATTTTAGAGTCTAATTTTATTATGCAGATAATTACCAATTAAGTTTGTTATAAAGTACAGAATTTGGAATTATCCTGAAAGTGCAAAGCAAGAAGTTAATCAACTTATTAGTCAGCTGAATCAGTGCACTCTGCAGAGTAATGTATGTAATTGATTTAATTCCTAAAGCTTTTCAACCTTTAAACAAAATGCTGGAAATAAAAAATGGGAAACATACTCCAGAAGTATTCCCCAACAATAAAGAGTCATTCTTAGAATATAATTTTTATACCACAGTTCATATGATTCTGTATGGCCTGGAAGTTGGGGGAGCACTGTAATGTATTATTAATGTATTGCAATCACACAGTACTCAAAATTACACAGGTTACAAAAGGAAGAGTAGGCAAATCAATACTAGCAAGAAAACCATCAATACAGCATTAGGCATTTTTTTTCCAAAATGTTGATAGGACAAGGACAGCAAAAACCATACAAAAATTAAAGGTTTTCTTTACAGTGGGCCTGCTTTTGTATATAAGGACTGATAGTTTTACTTATTTTAAAATATGTACAGTAATTTTCAATATTTTGAACCAAAGTAAAGAACACAGTTTATCGTGCAATACTGCATGAAGTTTTTTACCACACACTCATAAAATATGCCATTTCAAAGTCTTGAATAATGAATTTGGTCACCTCAACTAAGCTAGACGAATATTTTTTTCTAAAATCAAATGTGAATGTCTTAATGCTACTTTAATGTAATTCCTTCAGGATAATAAAGGTATTGAGAAGTAATCATAACCCTAGGAGTACCCTTCTAGCTCTATACTGCAACATAGTTTATGACCAATAGACCTTGCTAAACAATTGATCCACAGAGTCCAATAGCAACACTGAAAAAAGAAAAAAAAGTTAAGCTTTTAGCCCACAAGAAAGATTTCAAGATTGGGCCCTTTAGCAGAAGATAATTAACTGTAAAAGTTGTCAGTATAAGAAAAACATTGAATATCTGAATAATTTGCTTGCAAAAATCCTCTAATGTTTTTCTTAAATATACTTAGCTATAGGATATGCTTCTTTTTTAAAAAAAAAAAGGAATCCAAAAGAGAATTTGATACGGCTAATACTTTGTACATTGTAAAAAAAGCACACACACAGGCCAGCAAAACTGATGCAGTTACATTTTCATATAACGTGTTCCCTTATTAACAGAGCCTAACTAATTTGAAGTTACACAGGCAAGGTAAGGCAAAGATAAATTGCTACTATTCTGGTGGAATTGTAAATCTAAATTTTTAACATCATCATTTTAACATAATTTCTTCTTCTCCAGAATGAAATTCATTGACCCCTTACATGACAGTTTTCCTTCCTAACCATAGGAAAAGGAACCGAAGACTCCTAATACTGACTACGCTTTTTATTAGTGCAGAAAGGCAGAAGCCTCAGTTGTGGGATTTTCTTGGTTTCACCTGGGTGAAAGTCAAGAATATGGAAACAAATTTCAAGAACTCCTTCATTCAGAGCACTGTTTGGGTAATATGGTCCTGAAAGACATAATCCATAAACATTCCCAAGCAACTGACTCAGGCACAACTGTTTAACTATAAAGAAAGCTTTAATCTAAAGGAATTTTAAACAGAAACACACTGAAGGTAGTACAGCTCTGGAGAGAATCAAAAGGAACATGGTACTGCTACAGTCAATTTCCCACTGGAAGGATATAATTAAAAGATGAGTTTTCAACACCTTCATCAGTGAGAAACCATTATAAGGAAATGAAACTTCTTTGGAACCCAGAGAGAACAGTAGAGGGAAGCAGCAAAAGAAAAAACTGTGTACTGCACAGGAGATACACTTACAAATGGCTAACATGCTGGCTAAACTTTGTGCAACTTACTGTCAGCAGTTCTAAGTTAATAACAAGGCTATTTTTACAAATATTTCTTAGCAGACAGTGACTAAAGTCTGCAATTCACAGGAAAATCCGGTAAGATTCAAGATTTTCCGATTAAAAAGGACAGCTTGTCCACCTTACTATTGCAGATCTCTAGTCAAAGAGAAGCTCATAAGCAAATCAAGTGAGCTTCTTCAAAGCAAACTGCCTTCTCTGAAAGGCCATTATTTCCCACTGTGGCAAATATTTACGGTTAGCTTCACTGCATTAGGGAACCATCAGCAAAGAACAGGAGCAACACTGACAAACAGGAGCATCATACCTGGAGAAAAGTGACGCACTCTTGGCAAAGCACATGGCAATCGTTAAATCCCTGTAAGCAAAAGTAGGCTGCCACCAAGAACCCCATGACACAAGATGTTTGCAGCAGTTGCCACAAAGGGGGACCACCCAATGCAGAGGAATGTAAGATGTGAGCCTGATCAAAACCCAGTGTCAGAGTATCCTCAGTCTTAAGAAAGGAGTCAAAAACATTCTTGGTGGTCTCTGTTCTGCCTTCAAATAGGACAGAAAAGGATCTTTCAAAAAGACAAGTATCTAAATGATAGGCTGATGTTAAAAATGTTCTTTCCAACTGCATCCCCTGCGATTACAGAAATTCAATAAGATCTTATGCAGAGGAAACTAGGAAGACTTAGCTAGTTTATAAGGCAACACTTTTAAAACTCATTGTAGATAGCATTGACTTAAAGTTGGTGACAGAAGTTCAATATCAAATAAGGCAGCTGAGTGTTGAAGAAAAGGCTGTTATCCTAAGGCTGCTGAGGGAGATTTCTGTGTCTAGTTCAACTAGACAAAATGGTTCAACACCTCTGATGTCTAGAAACGGGTTTATATATTGAGTTAAATAAGCCATCCTGCCCTATGAGAGCCCTCTAGTGCCATGTTTAGCCGTGGCTGGTAAAGGACAGCCATAGACCAGTGGCAATGTAAATGGGTCTCAGACTGGACCCAGAAATTGCAAAGAAATGACTGCAAGACAGGTCCTCTGGGGGTGGCTCAGCCATTAGGAGTACAGTTGTAGACAGTTTTATTGTAAGAGAACACACCAAAAGGATAATGCAAAACATGGCATCATGCTGCAACAGTTCCTGAATGAAGAAACACTTTTCTGATAAAAAAAACCTAGTGGAAACAGTTCTTTAATGGTATTACGCAGCATGTAGTAGACAAAACAAGGAAAACCCCTGAGTTCATGTTGCAATAAGATACAGTCTGAATAGCGAACAGCACCTAAAAGGTAGCTACAAGCCCTCTTCTTAGATTGCAATTCTCTTTAATTCCATTTGATGGGTATATTTTTTGATATTCCATTCCGCAGTAAACAGCTGGAGGACAGTAACAGCTTAAAGGCTAATGACACTGTAAGAAGTTTAACACTGAAATTGAAATTTCCAGAGTACACAGCAAGCAGAAGGGACCAAAATAATGAAAAATATGAACACTCTTTTCTCAGGTGTTTGCAACAGCAATAGCAAAGAAGAGAGCACATATTTCACATTAGGACAAAAGGAAGACTAGTCAACATTATTTTTGCTTGTTTGCACTAGATTATGACCATTTCGTACCACAACATGCTATAATGTGCTTGAAGAAAAATTTAAAAATGCCAAAAAGCAAGCTATTTGTAATTATTTCTCTTTCATGATACAAGTCTAATTTTTCAAAAATAGCAACTACTTTTGACAGCAGTTATTAAAAATGTCTATTTTTTTAAATAAAACAATTTTAAAGTTAAAAAAAACCTTCAAAGATACTAGAAAGCAAAAAGGCAAGAAAAAAAAATCCTTTACAAAGTGTAACCCAGTGACAGCATTACCATTACAAGCACAGAACATCTGTTTTAAACTTACCTCTCCTCCATTAACATACTCCATCACAAAACACAAACGATCCTTTGTCTGGAAGGAATATTTCAAGGACTTGCAAAGAAAACAGCAAAACCAAACCAATTATCGTCTTGTATTAACCCAATTTCTTGCACTTAAACTGTAACAAAATTTACTATTATCCTCTTAAGCAGACAATTCTGATTTGGTGAAAACTTTCAGGGTAATGAAAAGTGTAACTTTCTATCTGGAGCTTGAGATGAATTAACACAAAAGCCTTCATGACTTCCCTTATCTCTGCCATGCGGCCATTGATACGAAAACACTATGTGTATTGTAATAAAATACTAAATAATTACTAAAACATAGAATTTCCTACTGCATTTCTTACTGTCATACACAGTACCAGCTATTCTCACTCATCACATTTGACATAGTTAAATGTTATTGACAAATCCCCGTGACATAAAGATGTTGCTTCCACAATGCCCATGAAGAGAAGGTTATCATATTCTTTTTAATTTCTCCCAAATAAAATTTTTAAAGTGATCTTAACCTCCCTCTCGCTTTCATTTCCAAAACAAGGATTCTCATTTTGCATACTATGCAATGTTAAAAATACCGATTGCCAAATTAAAATATTTCTTTATGTATAATTTTTAAATTGTAACAAACCTTATTATCTGAATTAAAATTTTTGACTTATCAATGTTGAATTGATTTTGCTTGGAAAAATGATACCAAAGAAAATCTAAAGATGAAGGCTTGGCCTAAAAGAAATGAAATGCAGTAGAACCACACGTAACAATCATAAGGAGACTGACATGAATTAAATACTGCTTGTCTCCTTAAAAAAAATGTTTAATAATATCAGAAAGATATAAAGATACAACTGCAATGACACTGTTGCATGATTTGATTGGAATTATGCCTACTCCTGCTTAACTTTGCACTCTAATTTAAGAAACTTTTGGTGGTCTCAATTTTCTTGATTGAGCTTCCAAGACTATGGCCAAGCTAAAGGGTTTGCTTATGATTTTCTAAATAGGAAAGTTTCCATGTTATACTTTGATAATTTTACACAAAAAAGCAACATTTTCCCTACGTTAAAATACAATGTTAATCATCTTTTGAAATCACTGAAAATATTTTCTACTAAGTTCTCAAAGGAGAGGAATCAGAATTACTTCTACACAACGAAGTCAGTTGTCAAATTAAAACTATTAATCATAATTAGTTCACGAATCTCAAAATGTTCATCTGCTTTTCAATATTTTCCTTCTATTAAGTATTAGCCATATGAAGACAAAGATATTGAAGCAGTGGGGTTTGAGTTGTTACTTCATGGGCTACTTATGTTGAGCAAGTAATTATTTTTATAATTTTATTGAATTCTTAATTAAGTTTTGTTGGTAAAAATTATTTACTTGACACTGTGAAATCAATAACTTTTAAAATAAAAGTATTCATATACAAAAATTGCACAACAGTTACATTCTGCAATTAAATTTGTTTTCAGTGCAATTGACCTTTACAAAATAATTAGAAACTTTTATTTCTGAACTCTTAAGTACATATTCTGATAAAGGATATCATAGCCACTGGATAGCAACTATTTGTTAATAAATCATCACAAGAAAGACTTAAACATTTGTTTGTAAGTTATGCGCATAATGGAATACCCATCGTGTTGAAAATTACCTGCTTATGTACTTTAATTCCTAATACTTACTGTTAAAAATGGGTGTCTGGTGTTTTTCAGTACTCTGCTCTCTGTAAGTGTATGAGCCACTTCATCCTGAGAAATAAAGAATAGAAGAAATACGTCTGAATTAAGATATAGAATTGTTATTTAATGAATTATGAGGAAAAGGTCAACACTTCCAAAAAGAGAAAGTTACAGTAGTTTTGGAAAATGTATGAACCTGAAAGAAACATGAAAAATAATTCACATTTTTAAAAAAAGGATCTTTAAGTAAATTTAAGTTTTGCAAAATACAATTTAATGTATTTTATTTGATTTTTCTTTTTCCTATTTTCTTGCTTTAAAATTGAGTCTTTAACTCTATACCCAGTGTAGGGAAGGAAGAAATTATAATACTGGATTTGATAGTTTAAAGATACACTCATCACAACTTTGCAGTTGTGGTATGAATCATCTGAACAACAAATCTACAGAGACTGAATCAATTTGCAAGAAACATACACAGGTAGGAACTGACAGGGAGCGAGCAGGGGGAGAGGATGACGGGAAGAGGGTTCGCCCTGTGCTACAATGCTGAGCAGCTCCTAAGGACTAAGGAGAAAAGTGGGGCATTTAGAGGGTTCATATTATGAATACACAACCATTTAATGCAATTCTGCATGTAATACATGCTGCGAATCCTCTGTCCCCAGGCTGCCAGAGTCTGGACCCAAGAAGCCTGAGAGCCACTGGGATGGTTTAGCTGTTTACTGTAGCACTGAGCTACCACTGAGTATTGTATTATACAGAATTGAAGACTACTTAGTGCAACTCCAACTATAATCCTGCAGAAGTAAATATATTTAGTCAGACTACACTTTATTATTACTACAAATAATACCAATATAACATTATTGTACTGCACATGCTTATCAGACTATGCTCAGAAGATATTAAGCTAGAAAGTAAACACAGATGTCAGGAGTTTTAAATTAGACTTTTAAAATTGTCAAAATAGGCAGTTCAACAACAACAACAGAGTTAGTGGTAATAAATTATGATGCCATTTAGCTGAACAGCAGTGCAACACTGAGTGTATGCACTACAACCACATACTGGGTGAAAAAAAAAACAAAAAATACTTCACGGAAAAAAAGCAAGCCTAAAGTTTTAATTATTTATTTATTTTTAAACCTCATGATTCACCAGATATGGGGCATAAAAAGTTGGCAATGGCCAGTTTTTCTGGCATTGCCTCAGAAGTTTGTAATGCTGGTAGCAATTCTCTGGTAAGTGTAATATTAATCTGTCACAAAAATTTAGGATCAACAGATTTTGTCTGAACTGGGTACATGCTGTACAGCCTTCTAGATACAGCTCTCAATGCACTACTTTTCTGCTTCATATTATTCTGTTACAGGTATGAGCTACAGAGTGTATTATATCACATTACAGGCTGAGTTGGGACTGCAGACCAATTCTACCTAGAGACTGTATCCTTAGCATTGACCTTCAGAGTTAAATATTATTGATAAATCCCATTACATACTAAATACAGGCTCAAGTCTGGTTTTGTTTTAGTTTGGGGAATAGTGGAAAAAATGTGACTATAGGGGAAAAAAACATGATCATGCTTCTACGAACAAGAATTTTTGCTCAAGAGAGAGAGACAAAGTTATCCGAGAATCAGTTTTAAGCATTCTAAAAATTGAGTGGCAATGTAGCAGCAACCAAAGTAAAAGGCAAAACCCTAAAACTCAAAAATGCAGCTTTTATTTTATTGATATGAAGAAACAAGCTTAAATGCTCTCAAGGCTAGAAGAGTATAAACAAGCAGCAGCAGAACAAGAGTTCACAGCAGTCAGATGTTAAGTCTTCCCTGAGGACCCCCTGGGTGCTACAGGCGAGCAGAGCACCAGGGAAGTATGTCAGGCTGGAGACTGGGCCACTGCACGCAGCAACCAGATATGCTCCGAGACCCACAGGGCAACCCACAGAGACTGCTGCCAAGGAGGGCCACTGAGATGCTCCTTCCCACGCAGCATCAGGAGAACATAGCAGCAATACCCTCTTTTCTTTCTGTATCTCCTGATTATGAAGAAGAAAAGGGCACTCTGTTGCTGTTAGTCCAAATCTTATATATGCCAACCAGCCTGCCACTGCACGTGAGACAGCTGCTAAGGGCACGCAGAATTCACAGGTCAGTCTCTTCTCTGCTGAAGGCATAAATTTAAGGTTCTCCACCTGCACGAGGGCTGATTTTAATGAAACTGAAGGAAATATAATTGGTTTTGAGGTTTCTACTTCTCTATCAAATTTAATCAAAACTGATCAACACATTCAAAAGTTATTAGAAAGTGAGTGACAGATAGACAAATGAACATAGAGACAGACTGCAAACTCTGCAAGCCCTGTTTTCATAGACCAATAGGAAAATTAGAAAAATCTGAAGGATATTTTAAAATAAAATATACGTAAATCACAGTAGTTCCCATCCACATCACCATTGTGTCTCATGGTGATAAGAGCATATAGGTTTCTTGCTCTCAACTTGTTCTGTGCAAGTGAGATTCAAAACTTTAGAATTACTAGAAACAAAGCTCAGAGTAGATGATCTTCGAGTTTAAACTTAGTAAAATTATGACCAAGCACAAGAGCTAGTAACACTAAACTAACCAAGTTTAAGTGAATGGACAATGCCAGTTTAAACCACTTCTTCAGACATCAGCTTCAGAATTTTCTTGTTCCTCAAAAACTGAAAAAATGAAATTGTTAGTCCCATGCACAGCCATCTTATTTAACATATCAGGAACAGAGCACAGACCCATTAAATTAATTGCATTTATCTGAATAAACCTGCAGTTGACTTAGAAAATTTTTTGAAGTATGCAATGTACCCTACAATGCATTTTTTATTGTTTTAAACTTGGATTGCACTATCTTCCTGCCCAGTGAATTCTCTCAATACCTTAGCACACTCTAGATTATAAGACACTGAAAAAAGACATGCAAAATGGGTACATGTACTTTATTTTTATACTCTTCTTTTCTAAAGATACACACATATTTCTATCAAACCCAGTTACCATTAAAAATCAAATATACCTTATGTATTAGATATTGACTATTCCATGAAAAAATATTCCAATATTAAAATTATAATCTTCCTTACCTTTGCAATAATGACTTCTTTTTTCAAAATCTTCATAGCATAGTATTTCCCACTAGCCTTTTCTCGGACCAGGATAACTTTGCCAAACGTGCCTTTGCCCAGCAGTTTTAAATAGTCAAAATCATTCATTGTCTACAAGGAGCAAAGAACAGGCATTAGCAAGACTTACGCTATCCAGTCACAATATGCACACAAGTGTGTCTGCAAATAACCAAAAGCTGTTACCAATATAGTCACAACAGTTTAGAAAAATACGTACACTTCTATGATTAAGTTCATAACAATTAAGTGTATCCTTAAACCGCAACGATATATTGTTGAATACTATTATTATAGTTCTCTAAAGTCAAGTACTGCACAGTGTACTACACACACACACTCATTTTTGCAAAGCACACACAGAATGAAGTCTTAGCCTACACCAGCATTTCATGAATGCTCATCTAAGAAAGCTATCGACTCATGTATTACCAGGGACACAAACACACGGCTTATCAGCAGGTTCAGTGGTTGCACTCAACAGCTCAATGTCCACGTGGCAGCCAGTGACTAGTGGTATTCCTCAGGGGTCAGTCCTGAGACCAGTGCTGTTTAACATCTTTGTCAGCAACATGGACAGTGGGATTGAGTGCACCCTCAGCAAGTCTGCTGACGACACCAAGCTGTGTGGTGCTGCCAATACGCTGGAGGGAAGGGATGCCATCCAGAGGGACCTGGACAGGCTTGAAAGGTGGGCCCATGCAAACCTCATGAAGTTCAACAACGCCAAGTAGAAGGTCCTGCACGTGGGTGGGGGCAATCCCATGCACAAATACAAGCTGGGTGGAGAATGGATCGAGAGCAGCCCTGAGGAGTAGGACCATGGGGATGTTGGTGGATAAGAAGCTCAACATGAGCCAGCAATGTGCACTGGCAGCCCAGAAAACCAACCAAATCCTGGGCTGCATCAAAGAAATTGTGGCTAGCAGGTCGAAGGAGGTTATTCTGCCCCTTCACTCCACTCTCATGAGACCCCACCTGAAGTACTGCATCCAGCTCTATGGACCTCAATACCCAGAAAACCAACCAAATCCTGGGCTGCATCAAAGAAATTGTGGCTAGCAGGTCGAAGGAGGTTATTCTGCCCCTTCACTCCACTCTCATGAGACCCCACCTGAAGTACTGCATCCAGCTCTATGGACCTCAATACGCAGATGCTCCATCCCTGGAAGTGTTCAAGGCCAGGTTGTATAGGGTTATGAGTACCTGGTCTAGTGGAAGGTGTCCCTGCCTATGGCAGGGACTTGGAACTAGATGATCTTTACAGTCCCTTCCAAATGAAACGATTCTATTAAAAATCCAAAATGCATTCAAAACAATTCAAGCAGAATATCAGTAATTCAGGGCAGAATCCTCTGTATCTTCAGCCATAAGATATCGCATTCCTTGACAAAGAATGGCCAACAGCTTTATTGACAAAGAATATTGAGTTACTGACCATAGCAAATTCACTTCTAACAGTCAAAAATTTACAGGACCATAAGCAGCCTCAAAGGGGTAACTTTCTCCCATACTTCAATCTTCTTTGAAAGGCTGGATTTAGACAGGGCCCACCAAAGTCTGAATAAAACCAGCTCTGAAAACCAGCCCTTTGCCCACACACAGGAGGAGGATCTTGGCTCACCTGATCATAGACACGGGTTTGATGCTAAGGGCAGCAAGCCAGTCAAATCGAAAGACTCATTCGCCCAAAATTTGCTTACATAATGTTCGTCAAAGCAATCATGAATATAGCTGCAAGCTCAGTGAAAACAAGTTAAAAAATACATACATATTTATAGGAGGAAGGTAATAGCTTTGCAAGATTTTGAGCCGTGGCTTAACAGCAGGTTATGGTGGTAGTGCTAGTTCTAAGAATAAAGTTTCCTGATGCTCTCATTCTTTAGAAGCTCAGCAGAAGGCTTAGTGATGATACGCAGTGCAGGGTAAGTCAAAAAGTCTGCCAAAGAACACAAGACCTTGGGAGATAAAAACACAGATGCCATAGCTAAGGGTGTACTGAAAACTGGTGGAAAAAATGGAAATACTTCCCAAACCTGAGGAATGTTGGTAAGCAACTTTGGAAGCTCCTGTAAGATTCTTTCTCCTTGATAATTTTCCCATCTTTTTCATTCCTACCAAACTCTGAGGACTGCATCTTTTTCCTCATTACATTACTTTTTTGGTTTTCTCTGAGAAATTTTTTCTTTACTCATTCTGCACCCAGCAAAACAAAGTAAAAGCAGTGAAGCTATAGGAAACTGCACTAACCAAAGAACCGTATGATGTCCATCCTTCTGTAAAGCCTATTTACTCCCCTATGGATGATCTGTTCAAGAGAGTATGCCCCACTACAGGTGTTGAAAATTCCTGCCAAGTAACTAATTTTTAAGAATTCCTGATCTGCACAAAGATTGTACCACTTGGAGTTTTAATCCGACTTCATCAGGAAAAAACTCTGTTTACAAGGAATATTACAGCAAGAAATAAAAGCAGTTTGCTAAGAATTCCTAGTGTTCTGAAACTCATGGATGCTATTAGTGTAAAATGTAAGTGGCATGTTGACACCATTTTAAAAGAAATTGCAAAAACTACAAAGTGCTTTTGGCTCTTCTAGCTAATCTGGCCAGGGACGTTGCTGTCATGCCTGTTCAAATCAAGTCCCACATCCTAAAGACTGTTTTCTTCATAAACCTTTTGCTACCTTTTTAGAACAGGCCCACTCCTCTCTGTCTTGTTTCTTAATCTGATTATGCTTCTACTCATATGTATACCATCTGGTGCACACACAAGCAAAATTCACTGGGCTTAGATGTAAAATCAGGTGACAAAATAAGCTTAGAGGACACATTGTGAAAAAAACCCATGAAATGAAAAGAAATCCAATACAAAGAAAAAGCAATAAAAATGCATTAAGTTGTTACAACTGAAATGGTTCTGATTATATTAACAACTATAAATGTTTAAACTGAAGCTTTTCAGAAACATTTCTACAAAAGAGAAACGGTTCTTAAAAAAACACTTTTTCCCAATTTCAAATAACACCATGGGAATGACAGCTCCCCATCAATATAGTCACTTAATATTTTTGATTCCAAAAACTTCTGAGAATCTTTAGCAAAAGTCTTGCAACAGTCAGAAATCTGCAGTGGGATTTTGAGTTTAGGTAAAAAAAAAAATCCTTGCTGTCATTAGTATGCTCTTCACTGGCTACAAAACCTCCATTCTGCTCTATTATTAGATGTCAAATTTCACCATTTCTCATTTCACCCTGTTTTGTAGAGTTTGCTGTCGGCTTGTTGCCAGAGCCGTTAAATATTGTGCAGCACTGCACATGCACTGTCCCAGCACCTTATTTCAGCATTTCTTAAAGCATAAGTAGCAAGACAGGAACAAAACTGATCGTCCTCCTCCTCCTGTTCCCACAACCCCTTTTGTTGTACGGGAAAATGTACTGCAGTGTGAACAAGGCAAGCATATATTCCAGATAAACTACTTATATTAGCATTAATTTTGACACCTTGAAAATGCTTGTTGTTACGCAGCGGTTTTGTACTCTGCTAAGAGGATACAGAGTCTTGGAATAGTGCTCGGATCTTTGAACAGAGCAAACCCAAATCCGTTCCACATAATAACACTGCCTCTCAGAAAGGCTGACACATCTCGAACGCTGCCTCTGTCTTGCTGTCACTTATCATATTTTACCCTGGAGCACAATCATTAAACATCTATGCTGCAAGGCTAAAAGTTCAATGTCAACCTGACAATGTACGATGAGAGTACTGTTACAGCTGAATACAATTAGTTTTTTACCTTTTTCTATAGTGGGAAAAGGTTAGAAGGTTGCATACAATGAAACAACATAAAAGAACTATGTTTGCACTGCAAACTAAAGTTCTCAAAAGTTAAGACACAATAGAACTACGATTTGCTCTGACACCTTTGTTATATTCATAAGGGTATAGTTTTCAGCCACTGATTTTTTTATTAATCTTACTTGATATAGTGCAATGAACAAAACATGCTCTATGAGTAAAGGCACACATCCACTATTTCTTTTCATCATTCATCATTCAAAGGCATTCAGTTACATTAGCTGCATGACTATTTTGCTCTGTCAGCAGACTTCCACTCAGTTTCCTACAGGTTTCACTTCTAGCTAGAAAGAATAAAGCTGGTCCTATAGAAAAAGGTTATTATTTCTCATGCAATTTCAATGCATCTCTTGAGTCATGTCAACCCTGTATAGCAAAGGAGAGACATCCATTTGAATGATCCATTTTTCAAGAGTAGTCTGTAGTTACAGAAACACAAGACAAAATGGAAACACAAAATAATAAGCAAATTTTTGTGTGCCATTGAATGTTGAAAACATGCCCTTAGTTGTATGTTTATCCTCATGACTCTGGAGACACAACTACAAGAATGTTATAGCCAATAATGTACATATTCCTACTTACAGCAAAAGGTCTGAAGGACTGCAAAATAAAACCACACTGTTTTCTCTCACTTCATTGAAAACTAAAGCAGAGTTATTTTCCCAGACAGCAAAAACCAAGGTCATTAAAAGCCAAATCCTGCAAGCCTTTCTTATGCAAATTATCTAATTTGTACTGGGTATTATTTGCATGAGAAAGGGGGCAAATCTACTCGTCTAAATAAAGTATTTTATTACCATACTTCTAAAAGAGTAAACAAACAAAAAGTAAAAGATTAAAATAATATTCAAACAATAAGCAGAATGTTAACATGTGCCTGAACAGTTGAATGTTGTTTTTCAGGAGTGCTGTATCAGATAGCACAACAAATAAATAAAACTACAGCAGTTTAGCTTTACTGAAATAAAAAATATGTACTTTTATGCTTGTAATACACTGAAATTTATGTAAAAATACTATTATCTATATATTGTTTTATCCAACTGTTCTGCAAAAGATATTCACATATTAGTTTTGTCTGCTATTTTTTAATGTCATTACCTTTCTTTTATGATGGGTTGTTGAAGCATCCATCTCTTCTTCTCCTATATTGTCTATCTGTGAAGTTGGACTACAGTTCATCCTCTCCTCTTCTTGCCTCTGAAGTCTGTCTGCTACAGCCTGGATTGCTTCTGTCCATTCTTCCCTATCATGAACAAGCCAACATTTCCCTATTAGAAACTCATAAAATGCATCCAAATAAATGGTTTATAATGTTTTTCACACGTTACATTGCTTCAATGTTCAATTCTCACTTTACATGGCAGAAGACTCATATAAATTAATCACTTCAATTTCTTTCCAAATACTGTATTATGTTAATGAAGTTGACCAGAATCAAAATGGATCACTACACGGTTAATTTCAAGAATTAGCAGTGTCTGATTTTATAAGTATTTTAATAGTGAAAACTTGAAGAAAACACTTGCTCCAGGTGTAATACAGCTCAGGGAATAGAAAGTCATCTCCTATCTGATACTATCTGATAATAACTTACTGTTTTAAGAGACTTTTTTGCTATTCCCCCTCCCTGCGAGACATTTTCACAGAAAATAAATAACATTTATTAAACCACACCACGTGTTCAACTCTTCTCCTGTCACCTCTTTAAACTCAACCTTTTGGCCAATTTCAAATTCCCCTGAGAAAGAGGCCCTCAAAGATAATTAAATTCCTACAAGCATCATAAAAAACAGTGCCTGCACAGAGGGGCAGGCCCCGATGCAGGTTTCTATGGAGGGACAGGCAGGGGCAGCTGAGCCCATGGCTACTCTGTATGCTGGCTAACCAGCAACTACACCAGCCAGCCCATCACCAAGTGCAGTACCTGCTGCTTTTTGCTCAGCCAGCAAGGGACACGGGAGGAATCTAGTGGTATTAGTGAATGCAGCAAGAGGTACTACGTTGCATACACTGAAGAAAGACAGAGTGGAGAAACAGTGCCAAGGTAGAACAAAAAAAAAAAAAAAAAAAAAAAAAAAAAAAAAAA